TTATTGTGAATCGAATTGGATTTATTATTGCATCACCCATCACGATGAACCATGGTTACTGCCCTCAAAGTGTTCATGAGACTCATGGGAGAGATATATTGAACAAAAGTTAGTATTTCTCCCTAAGGGAGGGAGAAAGATGAGCGGGCTGATGGGATCAGGGAAGGCTTCCTGGAAGAGGGGGCAGCTAAGCTGGGTCCTGTAAGACAGACAAGGGTTCAGCATGCAGTTGAGGATATCTCCCACGGGAGCAAACCCACCTGGCAGGAAAGTGGGACCCATGGAGGCAGGAAGGGAGTAGTCATCTCTGTGGCCTGGAGTTTAACGCTGTGGGCCAGAGAGCAAGAACTGGGATTTTGAAGCCTTTGCTCAGGGGCTGGATGTCATTCTGTAGGTAGGAGGGGGTCCTGGAAAACTTCTGAGGAAGGGAGTTGCCAGAGATTAAATTGTTTCTTCCCTGTAGAGGGGCCTCGGGCTGCCAGAGACACAGCACCTTGTGATGGAGGCTGCTGGGGCTTCCAGGTGGAGGAGAAAGCCAGCCATACACATATGCCAAAGTCTGCCTCTGCTAGCCCTGCCTAGACCAGTGCCAGCCCTCAGGGTCTAGTCTCCACCATGGTGAGCATCGGTATGAGGCCTAAGATCTTCCTCCCTCCCCTCGTCACTGTCCCTGGGGGTGCTCACCAGGCTAATACCCACATCTCCCCCTTGCAACTCCTCCAAAGACCCAAGGGCAGGATGTCACACCCCGGCTGCCAGGAGCTGGGATCACTCCAAGGATGAACCCAGGGTGGTGTTAATGAGGTCCAAACCAGATGGACAAGCTGAGAGCCAGAGGCCAGCAAAGACCAGGCACATCACAGCCTCAAGTGTGAGAACCCGAGACCTTCCCCCACTGTCTGAGAGAAGATCAGACAGGCTGGGTGCTCCCCAGAGACCACACAGCATTTGAGAAGCTGGGCACTGGTGCGCCTGTCCATTTCCATGGCCACCATCCAGCGCCAAGCGCCATCACTATGTACGTGGTAGCTGCCATCACCTCCATCACCAGTTCACTTACTATCCCCCCCACTTCCATTGATTTTCCTCTGAGATCCCTCCCTGCTGGCAAGTCCTTGGTGGCTTCCCTCCTTCAGGAGAAAGCCAGCTCCACCACGTCTGGGACGTCCCCCCCCAATCATGAACACATCCTCCCCATGTGCATGTATGCATGTCCACACACGCGCAGATCCAGCCACACGCACCTCCTTCCCTTTTCTCTGTGTCAGGCCTCCCTGGTCCCACAGCATCAGGGCAGCTTGGAGTTTGAAAGAAATCCTCTTGACACAGAGGTGTGCCTCCCTTAGCTGATGCTGGAGTTCCAGACTCGTGGGCTTACCCGATTCTTCTGAAAATAAAGTTTAGCTCAAATGGTTACTTCCTCGGAGAATCACCTGAGAACCACAGATACCTTGCACCCCATATTTTCAGAACCTAAGACCTTGAATATGTTAGGCAAGCACACTACTGTAGAGCTACACCCCCAGCCAGGCAACCCGTATCTGTCTGTTGCTGCCAACGGCATAGTTAATTACATAATCTGCAAAAAGCCTTTTTCTCTCACTAGAATAGAAGCTCCGTGGGTCAAACTATAGGTTATTTTTTAGCCAGTCTTTTCCCAGCACCTAGAACTCTGCCTGGTACGTAATAAAAGCTCAGGAAATGTGTGTTGACCGTGTGAGCAAACCCTTCTTTTCCAGCCCCATCTCCAGCTAATCTTTTTACCTTACTTTGTGCCTGGACTAGGCCGGGCTGAAACAAAATGAGGACTAAGATGCAGCCCTCAGTGGAAAATAAAGACAGGCACAAATCCATTCATGTAGAATGGGCATTTGGCAGGTGGAGAGTCAGGAAACAGCATCACGGGCATTAGGGACTGGGAGTTAGCTCAGAGGTTAAAGTACTTGTGTGCGAGCATGAGGACATGAATTCGGAACCTCCAGCACCAACACAAAGCCAGGTGCAGCAGCAGCATAAGCCCCAGAACTGAGGGATGGAGACAGGTGGACCCCAGGGGCTCACTGGCCAGCCAGTCTAGCCAAAACGATTAGGTCTAGGTTCAGAGACAGACCCTGCCTCAAAAACTAAGGTAGAAATCAGTAGAGCATCAACCTTTGGTCTTCACATGTACAAATACACACACACCCTACACACACACACTAAATTAATAAATGTAAAAAAATATGCTCTGATACCAGCTTGCAAAGCCAATCAGGAAGCATTCTTTCATTCATTTACTGGCATGTCCCGGGTGCTGGGACAACACAGTGCACACATGTCCTTTGAACTGGCCTCCTGTCCCATGCATACTCTCTTTAGACTCTTTCCAGTGAGCCAGAGGTCATAGCCCCCCCCCATTCCTTTCCCTCCCTCCATACTGTCCCACAGCCTCTAGGACCCCAAGCCATCTGTAGCCCCTGGCTCTTGGGTTTCTGCAGGGTATTCTAACAGGCTCTTCCTGGGGAGGACGAGGCCAACAGGATCCACATAGAACAATGGCGTCTTTGTGGCCTCTGCCAGGACCTCTCCAAGAAAAGCTGTTTGCTCAGCCTCAAACGGGCTGTGGGAGGCCTGAGGCCAGGGAGCTCTGATGTAGCCCAATGTTAACCCACTAGATGCTCCTTTCTTTGGTTCCCTGCTGTCTCAGAGGGATGGAGGCAGGCACTGCTGGCATGGGGGGCTAACGGGATCCCGGGGGATCATGCTTTTGATGTGGTTTGTTAAGTGTGGGTACCTCAGAAGAACTGCATGCGGAAACTTGATTATAAAGCCAGATGGAACGGTGTTGGTTCAAAGAGGGTGGGGCTTTAGCACCCTCCACTTTATTTTAGCCAGAAGACCAAGAATGGATTTCTTGGCAGCCTCTATAGACTCAACTATAGCTCACTCCCGGCCTAGAACTACCAGACTGCACTGCTGAAGGTTAGTGACATCAGTGGTTCTCAAAGTGTGTCCTCGGGAGTTTCCAGAGTGTACATTCTTAGGACCCAGCAGTCTGTGTTTGGACAAAGCCTCTAGCTGCCATTGCTGTTGCTGCTGAACTTGAGAGTCACAAGCTTACCCCTCTTCTCAGCGGGGCCACTGCTTCATTGCCAGCTGCCCGTCTCGCCTGACAGACAGACAGACAGCCTCTCAGGGGGTGGGACCCCTAAGTCTGTAGGAAAGAAAGAAACCAATGCTCAATGCTCTGAAGATTTAAAGACAGCCTCTCAGGGGGTGGGACCCCTAAGTCTGTAGGAAAGAAAGAAACCAATGCTCTGAAGATTTAAAGCTAGGCACGGTAGCACAGGCCTGTGATCCCAGCATTCCCACAGGGGCAAGAAGGTTGTTGCGGTTCAAGGCCTGCCTGGTCTACATAATGACTTCCAGGAAAAGCTGCCTATGGAAACTCTGTGTCCAAAAGCAAAGAGCTAACAAAAAGGAAAACTCCCTGAAAATTTAAACAGCACACCAGTGTTCCTGAGATCCCTGGAACTTGGAGCGCTGGCCCCCAGAGCAGCAGCTATGCCTCTGAGACATATTCAGGCCAGCATTGTCAGCATCTCAAATCCCACAAGAATCCTGCCCGAGACCCTTGACCCACTGTGGTCCTTAGGAGCCTTCAACCCTGGGTTTACCCAAACTGCCAGCCCTGGCACCGCCCTCCCTTGGCTCCCCTGTCACTGGCGCTGTACACTCTTTCGTTTTCGCTCTCGCTTCTTAAAAGGTCACCACTCATATTTGATTAGAACCCCTGATGCCCCAGTGTAACCTTCACCGTCTCCTAGAGGTCTCCAGATGCCATGCTGCTGGAGTTAGATTGGCGGCAGCGGCATATGAATTTGGGGAACATAAATTTCAGTACCGAGCAGCCAGTGCAAGCCAGTGCCTCCCTGCCCTAAGTCTCGCTGAGGTCTCACAGCTCCCAAACCATTTCCCCTTAGCGGGAAGCGGGAAGCCATGCATGAGCCCCAAGAGATGACCTTCAATGGTGAGGAATTCCAGGCCTGGGGGTCTTTGAGGCAGAGTCCTCTCTCCTACAGGGCCTCCTTCCATCCTGTGAAGTCCCCAATGACAACAGGGAAGAAGGCGGGGTTGCAGGCCCAGCTCTGCCTTTGGAGTACAACCTCCCTTCCGTCTAGGCTTGCCCTCCACCCTGTAGAGCCCCGTGCTCCCAGAGCTGGTCACGCATCTGCAGAGGCAGCTAGAACCCAGTAAGAATTCAAGGCCTAAAACGGAGCTGTGGCTCAGTTGGGAAAGCGCTTGCCTAGCATGGCCAAGGCTCTGCATTCAGCCCCCAGCGTGGCATGACCCAGGCGTGGTGACACAGGCTGATAATTCAGCCTACGGAGGTGGGTGTGGGAGAACCTTAAAAAGCTTAGGGCTATCCTCATCTACATAGCAAACTTGAGGCCAGCCCGAACTACAAGAGACCCCGTCTCGATAAATAGGCAGTTAGGTAAGTGAATGAATGAATAAATGAATGAATGGAGCCTAAGTCACATGTGGTGTTACAGGCCTAAAAATCCCAGCACTGGGTAGGCTGAGGAAGGAGGAGGACATAGGGGCCAGCTTGAATGGCATGAAAATATCCTATCTAACAAGAAAAAAAATGTCTGGCTCTAAGGCTGAAGGCACGGTTGAGTGGCAGAGTACTCACCTAGCATAGCAGAGAGAGAGAGAGAAACAGAGAGAGAGAGAGAGAGAGAGAGAGAGAGAGAGAGAGAGAGAGAGAGAGAGAGAGAGAGAGAGAGATGGAGATTTAGGGTTCCTGGACTCCAGCTCAGCAGGTACAAGACTGGCCAGGACCCTGTGCCCTTCACAATCTCCTGCTACCAGCAGGTCACTGCATCGCAGCTAGGTCTGCCCGGGTCCCAGAGACCACGCAGCCTGCGAGCCCTGCCCATCTGGAACTCTCTTGCCGAGGCCCCCGTCCCACCGAGCCCAGGCTACCCCTGACCTCCTGACCTTTCTCCCTACAGCGCAGCCCCTGCTGGGGCCAAAACCTTCAGCCTGAAGCACTCGGAGGGAGTGAAGGTCGAAGTGGTCCGTGATGGGGAGGCTGAGGAGGTGGCCACCAACGGCAAGCAGCGCTGGGCCCTCTCGCCCAGCACCACACTGCGGCTCAGCATGGCCCAGGCCAGCACGGAGGCCAGCAGCGACAAGGTACCGTGGCCAGGAAGTCAGTATCCAGGACGCAGGGAGCCCAAGGCCATGCCGGAGTCTTGGGGGGCAATGGGGCCACACTAGCCTGAGCCACGAAAACAGTGTGTGGTATGGATCCTTCCCAGTCCCTCAGCAGAGCGGAAAGGGGGAAGAAAACCATCAGGCGTGGGGCCGCACGCCAGTGACCCCCAGCACTTAAGAGGTGGAGGCAGGAGGATCAAGAGTTCAAGGCCTGCTTTGGCCATCATAGAACGCAGAAGACCCTGTCTTTAAAAAAGTGAAGTCAAGAGGCCAGAGAGGTGGCTCAGCGGTTAAGAGCACTATCTGCTCTTCCAGAGGACCCTGGTTCAATTCCCAGCACCCACATGGTGGCTTAACCCTCTGTAACTCCAGTTCCCACCCTCTTCTGGCCTCCAAAGGCACCAGGCCTGCATGTGATACACACAGAAATACATACAGGCAAAACCCCATGCACATAAAATAATTCTTTCAATGGAAATGAAGTAGTTGTGTAGTGGGAGGCCGTGAGTTCAATTCCTAGTACAGGAAGAAAAGAAGGAAGATCAGAGAGCTGAAGGAAACAGAAGCTGAGGCAGGGGGATCGCTGCACGTTTGAGTCCAGCCTCAGCTACTTAGTACCAGGCTAGCTCAAGCTACATGATGACAGTGTTTCAAAATGCACACATGCAAAGAGAAACCAGGACTTGGGGACACTCTTATTATCTCAGGACTTAAGAGGCAGGAGCATCACTGTGTCAGCCTGGTGCATATAGCAAGTCCTGGTTTTTTTGGTTTTGTTTTGGGTTTTTTTAAATAACAACAGATAAATAACTTCTCAGACTCGTAGAATGATTGGAGATTATAGCCATAGCAACCCAGACCTGTCTTAAAGTGGGGTGCTGAGCAATCAGGGCAAAGTGATTTGCTCAGGTGATGTAGCCAAAGCCAGATGGCCCCCACTATGAGCTCTCTCGTGAACACTGCTCTAGCCTGTTGCTGTGCTGGCACCAGGCACCATCCGAAGGAACAATGGAGCCCCTGGGGCTTATCTGGGCTTACAGCATAGTTGGCCCAGGAAGGGGGGTGGCGGGCTGCTAGATCACAGGTCAGGCAGGGGAGAGGAACCCCATGTCCTGTTAGATTGTCTGTGAGAGCCATCTCAGCGGCCCAGAGGTGCTTCCTAGAGGAGGGGCCCTGTGTTTAGAGACAGCTGGGAGGCAGGGGCTTAGTTCTGCTTTTGTGTTTGTTTGGTTTGGATTTCACTATAACCTGTGAACCTCTGCCCTTGTCCCCACCAAGGTCACAGTCAACTACTATGATGAGGAGGGCAGTGCCCCCATTGACCAGGCTGGGCTCTTCCTCACAGCCATTGGTGAGTTGGTGCTGGGGTCTGGGTGCCTTCACCTTGGGGGGAGAGGGGGTGGAAAAATTCGCCGGGCAGGTTTCAGTGTGGGAGGCTGGCTCCTGGTCACTTCTGAGTAATGCCAGCTTTGGAGTCATGCATGTGAGCATGTGAGTTTTGCCAGTGTGTATTTCTGCGCGTACCACATGTAGGCGTGGTGCCTTTGGAAGCCAGAATACATATATGTAAGGGAATAACTTTCAAAGAAGCAGAAAGGAAGGCTGGGTGGTGGTGGTGCACTCTCAAGACTCTCGAGGCAGGCTGACCTCTGTTACACAGGGAAATCCTGTCTTTGAAAACACAAACAAACGAACCAACCAAGCAGAAAGGGAGGCAGGGCCTGGCGACTCGTAACCTGTCATCCCAGCTTCTCGGAGGCTGAGACAGGAGACCGAAAGCTCAGCGCCTGTCTGGGCTAAGAAGAGAGGTCAAAGCCAGCCTAGACAGCCTAAGGAGACCCTGTCTCCAAAAGGAAAGGAAAGGAGAAGGGGCTGAGATGTAGCCACGTGGGAGAGGACTCAGGGCATTCTCCCAGAATAAAAGGCAGTCATTCGCGTTGTGAAACCAGGCTCTATGAAATCCCACTCACACCGACTTGTTTTCTGTTCCGCCAGCAGGAACCAGTAGCCCACCCACAGTCCATGCCCCACCTGACCTTCTCCTCCCTTGGCAGCTCCACTCTGAGTGATGAGACACAGCACCTAAGAGGCAGGGACACCCTAAACACCCCTAGATCTGACCCCACAGAAGCAGTTCTGAGGGAACCTCACTGGGACTGTCCCAAGCCCACACTGAGCAGCAAAAGCCTCAGGACAGGTAGAAATAAGCTGTGGCTTTGCCTCCTCAGTCCAACTCATGGTGATGTGGCAACAACTCCATCACCTTGAGCCTCAGTTTCTCCATCTGCAAAAGGGGGCTTTGCAGAATGTTCTAGCACAGACCCTCCAAGGATTCAGGGGAGTGGTGTGTAAAAGGCCTGTGTCAAGCACAGCAGGTGCTGAGCAGAGGCTCCCCTCCCCCTCCTGGTACTCTGCCTGGAGGGACTTCATCCTGTGATATGGACTCTAGATCTCTGTCTGACCCTGCTGTGTGGCACTGACAAGTAGATCACCCTCTCTGGGCTCCGCTTTTCCCCAACTGTAGAATGAGGATTTGAGTTCATCTCTAAGAACCTTTGAGATTCCAGTTAGCGTTTTTTCAGGGGAGATGGGGGTAGAAAGGTGTGAGGGGACAGTCGTCCTTCCTGCTGGGGTCCTAGCAGAGGAGCCTGGATACTGGTGCTGAAGTGCTTTTCCCCCTTTGTACCCTGGGTAAATGCTCCACACACCCTGAGCTCCTCACAGAGGCCTAGCTCTGGAGCTGGCAGCGTCCACTGCAGGATGTCATTCCTCTGTCATTCCTCTACCAGTCCCCAGAGCCCTTCCTCACACTGCATCCCAAGCTCCTGGGACAAGTCAGAAGGCCAGGCCAGCACAGCCACAGTCCACAGGGCTGGCAGCCAACCAAAATGCAGCCACAGCCTCTGTGTCTGGGCTCAAACTCAATCCTGGTGACATTTCCCATGAATCCACCCCACACCCCGGCACCCGGGCGCCACCTGACACCTTGGGGTTATTCTGGGTAGCTGAGGCAGGACCCGGAGCCTCTGGGAAATGTCTGGAGTCCAAAGGCTGTGAAACAGGTGTGTTCCCCTCCCCCTGGTGAAGGCAGAGCTCAGGAGGGCTGTTCCAACCTCTCCTTCTTGGCCTGTAGACAACGCCCTGTCAGAGGCAGGGAGGAGGTCCAGGGGATAGCTGGGAGCTAAGGAGGCTGGAGGGCAGTGGGAAGTCAGTTGACTGTGGGGACAGTGACAGGTCCTAAGGGAACTGAGAAGTCCTGTGGAAGACGGAGGGAACAAATTTCATAATGGGAAGGTGGCAGAGCCTTCACAGGCTAATAGATCAGAAGATGGGCTGGGTGTGGTGGCGCACACCTTTAATCCCAGTACTCAGGAGACAGAGGCAGGCAGATATCCATGAGTTCGAGGTCAGCCTGGTCTACAGTGTGAGTTCCAGGACATCCAGAGCTCTGTAGTGAGACCCTGTCTCAGAAAAAAAGAAGAAGAAATGGAGGGAGGGAGGGAGGGAGGGAGGGAGGGAGGGAGGGAGGGAGGGAGGGAGGGAGGGAGGAAGGGGACAGAGAGATCAGGAAGTAGCAAGAATCCTGGTGAGGCTTTAGGGAGGCAGGAGACTACAGAGAGGGATCCTGCTACCCTGAAATGTGTGGCTGTTTGATTTATCTCTTTGTGACAAGTTAAGCACCACTCTGGTAAAGATCTTAATTCTGGGGACAGAGGTGTGGGGAGGTGTGCAGAGCACCCTCACAGCCCTTGTGAGCTCAGAGCTCAAAGGGAAAGATGGCTCAGCAGCTTAGAGCAATGATGGTTGTTTCAGAGGATCCTAGTTCGATTCCTAGCACCCTCATGATTACCCACAACCATCTGTATGTAACTGCAGATCCAGGAGATCCAATGCCTTCTGGCCTTCCCAGACACAGACATGCATTCAGGCAGAACACCCATACATATAACTTAGAAAAAGAAAAGGGAGCTGGGTGTGGTGGTACACACCTTCAATTGCTGCTCTGGGGAACTAGGGAAACAGAGGCAGGTGGGTCTGAGCTCAAGTCCAGTCTGGTCTACATAGCCAGCCTCGTCTACATAGTGAGTTTCAGGCTAGCCAGGGCTACAAAAACAAATAAAAAGAAAGAGGGAGGGAGGGAGGGAGGGAGAGATAGATAGAGAGAGAGAGAGAGAGAGAGATAGATAGAGAGAGAGAGAGAGAGAGAGAGAGAGAGAGGAGAGAGAGAGAGTCCTCCTTCAGTATGGCTTCATCATCTCCCATGGCTCCCTGCATGGGAGACACAGGAGACCCACTATAAGGAACTTAAGCGTTTCCTTGTGGCCTAGAAATGAAGCCACAGGGCTCCACTGTGAGGATGTGGCCAGTGACCTTCAGGGGAGCACATGTTGGGACTTTAAAGATGAGATTGACTTTTGGACACTGTCCAGGTATGATGTCAGCCTGGGTCAGCCAGGAGTCAACTGGATCAGTGAGAGGAGTAGCACAGAACAGATGTGTGCTGTGTCACCTCCCTGCTGGGTGGCCTCAGACTCCTGGTTTACATGGCATTGTGGGTCTCCTTCCTGGAGCTCTCAGAGGGAGAGATCAGCCCTGGAGAGTGTCAGCAGTTGGCAGAGCACTGTGTTCACGGAGTGGGGCGTGGCAGGATGGAAAGCTGGTGAAGTTGGGAGCCAAAGTCAACATTGTCCCTGCACCTTGGCCTCTCGCTGCAGTCAGAGAACCTTCCCTCTGCAGTGGAACCCTCTGCCAACCCCAGCCTGGCTCACGAGCCATGTAGGTGGCTGCTGAGTGACTCCTCAGAGCCTGAGTTTGTTCCTTTCTGAATTGGGTGTGATTGTATTTCTCTCTGGTGCCACAGGCTCCTGGAGACATCTGCTATGAGTCACTCGCTCAGTGCCGAGTTGCAGCAGGTACTCCGGTGGGGCACCTTGCATAGCCGTCATCAGTGGGATACCTTGTAGCACAGGGCTCATGGCAGATCCAGAAGGATGGGACATCAGAAAGTGCCTCTTCTTGATATCTCTTGGTCTTCCACTTCCTTCTGCACCCACAAAGTCATAGTCGGGTCAGTGGGAATTGAACTGTTGACAAGAGACACCAGAATGTGACTCTGGACCCTGTTGGACTGATGCAACCAGGGGTGGGCACCATCAACACCCTCCCTGTGTCAGGAGCCTCCTTCCACCCAAAGAAGGGGTTCCCCCCACGAAGGGACTGACTGGGGTGCATTCCTTCCCACCCAGCTTCCACCATGGTTGAAGCATAGTTAGCATGAGACAAGCTCGCTGGAGCAGCTCAGGGTCGGGAAGCAGAGTATGTCATGCTGGTGTATTCCCCTAGCTCCCCAGCAACACCCACCCTCCTCCCTCCAGCCACTAACTCGGGGCACTTTTACCTCCCCAGGCTGTCAGACAACAGCTGGAGGCATGAGAAATGTTAGTGGCATCTTGCAGGTGGTGGCCAGGGATGCCGCTAAACACTGTACCCCCAGAACAGTCCCACACCTGGAGTTACGTGGCTCAGAAAGCCAATAGTGCCGGCTGTTTCTGTTGGTACAACTGCTAAACCAGAACTGCATGCTGCAGGTGAGGGACCGGGACTGAGAGAAGTTATGGAACCTGTCACAGGCTCCTTTAGATGGACAGGGGCTGGAGACGTCTTCTCAACAAAAATAAAAGGAGGAGAGAGGAAAAAGAGAAAGCCAGAGACAGACAGACAGACAGACAGACAGACAGACAGGAGTGTGTGTGCAAAAATGCACCTGAGAAAGTCTGGAAGAGGGAATTTGAAATATGGTTCCCAAGGACATTGAGGATCAGCCTCCCACCCCCACCAGGGTTGCAGGGACCCGCCCACTTCCAAAGCGTTTTGTGTTGGCTGAGGTTCTCCCAGAGGTGGTAGCATGGTAACAATGTAAGCAGGTATAAGCAGGGCAGGAGATGATGAGCTTCGCAAATCCTTCTCCCAGCAACCAAGAGAAGCCAGTTGGGCGGGAGGAGGGAGGCTGCCCTGTTTCCCACTGGGCTCCTCCAGCCTCACGTTATCTGGCTGGCTCTTGAGCTCACACTTAATCTCTTGCCCACAGGGATCTCGCTGGATGTGGATGCAGACCGGGATGGCGAGGTGGAGAAGAACAACCCTAAGAAGGTTACTGGTCTTGAGGGTGGAAGCTGTCCCGACCCTAACATGGGGAGGCTTCCAGGGCATTGCAGGGACTGCACAGTGCTTTTGGCCAGAGCTGTCTCCAGATCCATCAGCTCCTATTTCACAGGGCCAGAGGCTGAGGCTCAAAGCTGAGTGCAGACGCAGCAGGGCAGGGGTGGTCCCCAGACAAGCCAGCTGGGAGGGGAGATCAGCGTCCACAGCGTGGGTCCCAGAACTGACCGAAGAATCAATGCATCTAAGACAGAGGCTGCCTGGGGATGCATTTGTACCTTTTCTTTTAAAATTAGGGGGTAGAGAGTTGTGCTAGCACACAGCCTTAATCCCAGCACCTGGGAGGCAGAGCCTCGCCTGGTCTAGCCTGATCTACGTCGAGAGATCGATAGTGAGGCTGAGAGAGGTGCCTTGTACTTGCTATCTTAGCACTCAGGGTGGAGACAGAGGATCGAGAGTTTGAGGCCAACCTGGACAGACCCTGTCTAAAAAAAAGTGCTTTCTGGAGAGAGCTCCTAAAAACAGGCTGTAGGTCTTGACAATCCTGCACAAAATGTAGCTCAGTCCATAGAGTGCTTGCCTTGAATGCAGGAAACCATGGGTCTGATCCCCGACATCCTCAGGCAATCAAGCATTAAGTCATCCAGTCCCTGTAGACCTGAATTAGTGAGAATTTCCATACCTGGGCCAGTGAAATTGTCACATGTCTTTGCCCACCCTATAAATATCTTTTATTTTTAGCTAGTAATGATGGTGCATGCCAGAAATCTCAGATCTCAGGAGGATCAGGAGTCCATCCTTTGCTACATAGTGAATTAGAGGCCAGCCTGGGCTATGTTGAGACCCTATCTCAAAACAAGAGATTTATCTCTTATATTCTAGGAGCAGGTCAGGCCCAGGGAACAACAAAAACCTAGAGAGACCAAAGTTCAAGGAAGAATGCTATAGGTGACTACCTTGTAACCATCCTGTGACCTCAGTGTTCCTGAAAGGACACATGAATAAGGGACTATGTGCAGAGCAGGGCAGCTGCCCTGGAGCTCAGAAAGGCTCCTTCGAGGAGGGCCAGGTGCACAGAGCCTAAGAAGAGCACCAGAGTTGGGTGAGAAGGAGAGGCAGGCATGGCAAAGGTCCAGGAGTGTCTAGGGTGCAGAAGGGCATTCATGTGGCGGATAGAAGAGACCGGATGCAGAGGTCATGGGTCTCACCAGCCTCACGGAAGATCAGAGAATCCAGGGTTTATCTGAGTCAACAGTGAGGGCTTCAAACAGGGAAACGGTATGATCCAGCTGGAGTCTGCTCTGGGTACCGTGGATTCAGGACAGAAAGCAGAGCAAGGTGGCAGGCCCCTTGGGAGCGCTCAGAGTGTGTCTGGAATCAAGTCACCTCAAGCCTGTCCTAGAATGTCAGTTCCTGCCACCATCTCTGCCAGGCATGGTCACCTCACACCAGAGCTGAGGCCCACACGCCCTATCAGCCTTCCTGTCTCTCTGCTCTTGAACTTGGGTGATCACATGGGTCCTCTCCAGCACTTCAAGCCTTCCAGGTCCCAGCTGCTGTCCCAGTGGGTTGGACCTATTCCTTACCACATCTATCCCTCAGTATCCCTCAGAAGCTGTACTTGGATGGAACCCGGGGAGGCATTGACCTGTGCCCCTGCTGTTCCAGGCATCCTGGACCTGGGGTCCTGAGGGCCAGGGGGCCATCCTGCTGGTGAACTGTGACCGAGACACACCGTGGTTGCCCAAGGAGGACTGCAGTGACGAAAAGGTCTACAGCAAGCAAGGTGCCAGTGGGGCCACACTGGGGGACAGTGGGAACATGTGTGTCCTGTCTTGGGCAGAGTGGAGGGTGAGGCAGGAGATAATGCTTCAGATGTTCAGTGCTCAAAAGGCATGGCTGTAAATTCAGTTTAACTGCACCCTTGCATGCATGGGTGGAGGAAAACCTGGAGGGGCCAGCAAGATGGCTCAGCAGGAAAAGGCACCTGCTACCAAGTCTGATGACTTGAAGTCAGTTCCTGGAACCCACATGATAAAGAGAGAGAACTGACTCCTGAAAGCTGTTCTCTGATTTACAGACACTCCAGACAGACAGACAGACACACACACACCATAGCATGCACACATATATACAGACAGACACACACACACACACATACACCATGGCATACATATAGACAGACAGACTGACAGACACACACATACACACATGCACACGCCATACATACACCATGGCATACACATACACACACACACACATACATACACACCATGGCATACATACATACACACACACACACACACACACACACACACACACATATATCATGGCATGCATACATACACACTGAAGCAGGCAGATCTCTGCAAGTGCAAGGCCAGCCTGGTCTACATATGGGGAAAAAAAACCAACCTAGAGAGAAGGAACTTCTCAAAGGGTTGACCAGTTCTCCCATGCAGGAGATAAGTTCCTTTCTCTTAGGCTTCTGGGTAGTTCCTGTGATGCACGCATGAGGAAGGGGCCCTGCCCTGGTGGGAGGAGCTAAGCAATAGAGAAACCAGCTCCCACAGGCCCTCCTCCTACCGCCCTTTATCTACCCGCAGACCTCAAGGACATGTCTCCGATGATCCTGCGGACCAAAGGCCCTGACCGCCTGCCTGCAGGGTATGAAATAGTCCTCTACATTTCCGTGTCGGACTCGGACAAAGTGGGCGTGTTCTACGTGGAGAGTGAGTGATCATCATGCCCCCCCAAACCCTTGTGACCATTCTCCCTGCACAGGTGCCTGGGGCTGTGGAGCCCACAAAGTGACTCACAGATACACATCTCTCCTCCCCCAAGGAGACTCAGTGACCTGTGTCCCCATACTTCTCTCCAGTGTCCAGGGGAGGAAGGGCCTTTGAAGTCAGGGTCCTGTTGCCTTCATGATACCTGAGGCCAGCTAGGCACTTCCTCCAGGTTTTGTCTGGCATTTCTGACTTACAAAGGTCCCTGGAGAAGATGCCATGGCTGCCCTTCTTCCTCGTGGTGGTGACAGGGTGTCCTGGATGCCACTGTGTAAGAGCCACACTCCACCTTGGAGCTGTGCATCTAATCTTCTTGTGCCATGGAACCACCAGGGTAGGATGCCAATGCAGCAAACATAAACGCCCCTCACCCGCTCTGCCCTGGAGGAGCAACCCCTGAGTGAGGAAGACATGTCAGAAGAAAAGGAACAGATCTGGTCCCAGGGAACGTGAGCAGAGAGGCTGAGCTGGCTAGGTGGTCCAGAGAGGCCTCGTGACGTCTGAGATGAGTAAGACTCTAAGGAAAGTGAGAGGGAGCCAGGGAGGGGCAAGCTAAGGAGAGGGCGCAGTGTACAGCAATCTCCAAAAAGGGGACTGGTTCAGTGCTTCAGAAAAACAGGAAGACAAGGCTGGGTAGGGGTGGGGTGCACTTAGGTCAGTCAACAAAGCAGGGAGGGCCAAGAGGGAAGACAGCAGAGTCACCTCGGGGGTTTTCGTTTTTTGTTTGTTTGTTGAGGCAGGGTCCCATGGTCTCTAACTCCTTCTGTAGGGAAGGGAGGGTGACCTTGACCATCTGACCCTCCTGCAGCCACCTCCCGAGTACGGGATTACATCAGTCACACACCACCCTCATGCCCCATAATGTGGTGCTGAGGATTTAACCAGAGCCTGGAGCATACTGGGCAAGCGCTCTATACCGGAGCCACATCCCCAGCCCCCAGAGGGTTTGGGGCAGAACTTTAAGATCTTGCATCTTGCAGTTTGTCTGGTGTTATAGGACCTGGACCTGGGGCCTGAGAGGTTGATGTTTGCATGGTCCAGATGATGAGAGTCACCCGCGGCAGAAGGGGACCGGGAGGACACAGTCGGTGCTTTGACTCAGCCTGGCCATTGACCTGTGGCTAATATCGACATCTCTTAATGCGTCTTCACCTTGCTAACTCAAGTACACGCAGGCCCGGCTCCTTTCTCCCCTCCATTTCACTGGCCCTGAGCAGGCAAGACAGAGCTCCTGCTGCAAGTGAGCAGAGACCGTCCCCCTGGGTGTCTTAGCTGGGCCACCATCCTACAGGGAGGGTGGCTGCTCCGTCAGGGACTGCCTCTCTAGTCAGTTTCCCTCTAGACGTGGACTCCCGGTGTCTTAGCTGCATTTCCTGCTTCTATGAGAAAATACTCTGACAAAAACGATTTCGAAGGAAAAGGGTTTATTCCACCTCACAGTTCCAGGGAAGCCACAGTGGCAGCTTGGCTCTCTCCTCTTTTCATTCAGTCCAGGGCCCAGCCCATGAAATGGTACCACCCACCTTAACTCACCTCAGTTAGCCAATTAAGAAAACTTGCATAGGCTTACTCACAGCCAACCCGATCTAGACAGTTTCCTTCTCAAGTGAGTCTACATCGTATCAAATGGACAGTTGCCCAGGGGACTACTCTGAGTCACCAGGGCCCAGCCAAAGGGACAATTAATCTTACTCTTTGGTCCAGTATTCTTTTCTTCCATGTGCACCTATGGAGGATTTTATCAGAATCTGAGAACCTTGTGTGTGTGATGTATCGTGTTACTTCAGTGGCATGCCCTGTGTCCTAGGAGAGATAGTCCAGTTCCCCCACAAGGTCAGGAGCCAGGCTCTAGAATCCCTGAGGGTGTCCTCTGTGGTGTGGCATGGACTGCACTGGGATCCCCACTGTCATCTGGCCCGTGGAAAGCTCTCTGTAAAACAGTAGCCATCGCTTTGGTTAGAATTATGTGAACTGCTAATTATTATTATTGACTGAATTCTCCAGTGTTCCTTGGAGGACCTAGAAACTTGCTCCCCAGGACCTCCCAAAATTGGAGACTTACCTTCTCCTCCAAGGACACAGTAAACAACTTGTCCCCATTTGTCCAGCACCTCCCTGGTTCTTAGCACTGGAGGTCTGTCATGCCAAGACACTCTTCCATCACAGGCAAGCTGAGATAGACAGTCACACTATCCATCTCTTTGCAACTGGGAAGGTTGTGCCAAAGCAGGCCCTGCGCTGGCCAGCCAGGGCAGATGACTGAAGCTCAGGAGAGGCCAGGGGTGGCTGGCAGGTCCAGCACAAGGCTGGGGGTGGGGCACTCAATAGAAGCGCATTGTTGGTGCCTGCAAGGACAGCCAGCCATGCCGGGGGTGGCAGGATCGGCACCAAGTTAGGGACTGTGAACAGCGATGGAGGCTCTTTGAAACAAGGGATGTGTTGTTTCTGCATGAGATCAGATCTGCTGGTACTAGCTGCCAGAAAGCAGCCCCAAATAGAGATGCATTGTGAAGCACAAGGCACAGGTCACACGGGGAAGCCACCATCTAATAGCCACTGTACAGAAGGCATGCTCCCACCAGACCCACCTCCCTCTGCCACATCCCCTCTTCCCCAGGCCCCGTGAGAGCCTAGGGAAACGCGGTTACTATGGCTTCTGTAGGATCAGGGTGGCTTCTGTGTTTGACATCACTCCCATGAGAACAGCAGAAGTGCAGCTTGTGTCATTTGGATGTTGTGGGTGGGGAAGGCGGGAGCCACCATAGATACACATCCAACTGGATCTGAGCAGAGACTGGGTCCTAGGGCACCTGCTGGCCATTTGGGGTGAGAAGGACATCACCTTCCATGCTGGGCTGTGATAGGTGCTTGGGCCCTGCAGGGGCAGGGCGTATGTGTCTCAGTGCTAAGCCCCACCTCCGGGAGGCTGAGATGCCACTCCTGTGCCTGACACCTGGAAGGCATTGGATGGCAAAGTGGTGAGTGATACAGCAGGGGGCAAACTAGCCACACCCAGATTCTCCTCCCAGTACTCTTGGTCCCAGCTGTGTTACCCGTGTCCCCAAGGTTACTGAAGTTATTGATGCTGTGTCATCTGTAATGACCCTGTGACACAGGTACTGGTATTCCCCAGTTAGCCATTGAGCTTCCTATTTGAGAGGTTAACAGAGTTCATGGAAGGTTTGTAACTTGCAAAGTCCGGAGAGTGCCTGACCTGAGGTCCCTCAGACTTGGCAAGCCAAGGTCACCAGTTCATGGTGTCATTCATAATCAGGGTACAGGTGAGCATGCTGTCCTAGAGCAGGTGCTGTCTCAAGCCTGCCTTTCCGGGTACATTGGACTTGGTGGTTTTTAGCCCTGTGTACGGGGAATGGTCCTGGCCCGTGTTCTAACCCTTGGACAGCTGGTCATTAACTGATGTATTGTTATTGAAAGTGCTAAGCTGAGCATGATCTGCCCTTCCAGCTTTGCAGGGCCTAAAGAAGCTGCTCCTGGGACTGTGTAGGGCCCTATCTCCAGGCCTTTGCCAATGCAAGTATCCCTTTCCCTCCACATGCTTGCAGGCACCCTGCTGCCCCACAAGGGCATCTCAAAGCCGCTTCCCTCTGCTCAGAAGTCTCCCCTGCCTCCCTGCCCTTCCCCACCCTGAGTAACAGACAAGATCTCCACCATGACACTGCCGTTAGACACTCCCCACATCCGCGTCTTATCATCGGCTGAGCATCACTCTTAGACATAGAGGCTGCACCATGGCCTTTGGCTCCCTGAAGGTCTTTGCTTGTGCTGGCCCAGCTAATTCAATTCACGGGCTCTGAACGAGCCCTGAAACCCCCCGTGGGCCTCTCCCACAGGGACTGATGGGAGCCATTGCTTCATTCAATGGACGTTTATTAAACATGACCACGTGCCAGACAGGCAGATAGCCTGGCAGGGTTGTGTCACACTGACAGCATGCATTTGTACAGGTGCCATGTGGATGGTCCACATGGACCCTGACTTGCTCTCTGGGAAACTGCAAAGGACTCCCTGAATGGACTAAGGACGTCAGTCTTCCGGGCAGAGGAACAGCTCTATAAAGGGCTGGGAGTTTCATGGGGGCAGGAGAGTCTTCCTTCCCACCCGAGATCCACTCAGCGGAGCTTCCATGCTACGGAGAGAATTTCTGGAACAAATGGCACATTCGTGTTTCACTCATACAAAGAGAGTAGGGACTTGGCATTTGGAATTACATGTGGACTGGAGGCCCTGCCTAGTCATTTCTGAGCTGGTTTCCTCCTCTGTAAAATGCGAATAACACCCCCCCACTGCTATGCTAGCCATGCTGCTGACATTCCCATCCACCCTCGTTCCCCAGACAGCTCATTTTCCAGGTGAGGAAGCCAGATGCCAGCAGGTACGCAGCATGCCCAGCCTATGACAAAGAGCAGTTTACACCACCCTGTGCGTTTCTCTGTGTCTGAAGGACAAGTCGCTCTGCCCCTTGCTCCCTGACCACCTGATGGGAGAGGAGGGTCCTAACATGGGCCCCACCCCCCACAGACCCATTCTTCGGTGAGCGCTACATTCACATCCTGGGCCGGCGGAAGCTCTGCCACGTGGTGAAGTACACCGGGGGCTCTGCGGAACTGCTGTTCTTTGTGGAAGGCCTCCGTTTCCCCGATGAGAGCTTCTCAGGCCTGGTTTCCATCCACGTCAGTCTGCTGGAGTACATGGCTGAGGTGAGAGCCGCGGGTCTCCCCCTGTGCAACCATGCCCCAGCTCCGACCTGGTAACTGCGATGGGGCGATGGGTGCGTGAAGGGTAGGAGCAAGGCTTTTCTAACCGTGTGACTTCACATGTCCTAGCTTCCCCATCTGAAAAGCAAGGACTGTAGCAGCGTCTGTCCCTGGGAGTGAACTGGTACAGGCAACAATACTTGGTATATGGAACCGCAGAGATAGCTCAACAGTTAGGAGCTCTTGCTGCTCTAACAGAAGAGTGATGTTTATTCCCAGCACCCACATGATGGGCAGCTCACAACTATGTGTCGCGCTGACTCTAGGGGAATCTGATGCCATCTTCTGGTCATCATGGGCATTACACACGTGTGCACATATATATACACACACAGAAACACAACCCCCACACACACACATAAAAACAATACTTGGCACAGTTCCTAGCCTACAGTAAATGCACTGTCGCCAGCGTCACTCACCAAAAGGGAAGCAGGGACCCAGTGTGTCTCACTGGTGCTCCTCTTCTGTCCTACACACAGGGCATCCCATTGACACCCATCTTCACAGACACTGTGACGTTCCGGATTGCACCATGGATTATGACTCCCAACATCCTGCCTCCCGTCTCGGTGTTCGTGTGCTGGTAAGGGGCAGGCAGAGTCCACAAGGCAGTGTGGCAGAGTGCTCAAGAGCTGGGCTCCAGGGTCAGACTGGCCCAAATCCAGTTCTTGTCTCTGCCACTTAGCAGTTAGGTGACCTGCAGCAGTTCACGTGGTGTGTCTGTGCCTCAGTTTTTCTGAAATGCACACACCATAGGCTTGCCGTGAGGATCTAGATGATGCCTCTGCATCTATGCCCTTATCCTGGCCAGGCCCGGTGCTGCACCGGCCATGTTTCTCTCTTCTCACCCTCTGCCTTCTCCTGTGGAGGGCTGGGTTGCTGGCTCATTTTGCTCAGTCGTTCAGCAGATGCTTACTGAGTTCTAACATGTGCTCGTTTAGCACAGCAAGACGATCAGGAAGGGCGAGACGTCTCTATGTGTGTATGAGTGAAGGCTACAGAAGGGACTCTCAGCCCTCCCCTCGTCTTCACGCCAGGATCCTCCACATCCCAGGCATAGAGAGCACTTTCTAAGATCTGGGGAGTCAGAGAGCATGCGTGGGTGATAGGTCCCTTCCTTGCCTTATTTATCCGTGTGACCTTGACAAAATCCGCATAAGCGTTGGGGTTACTTGACCCATGGCCCCAGGGGCCTTTTACAACCTGGCTGTGGGCAGGAACAGGGGCTTCATTAGCACAACTCAGTCCAGAGCGCCAGCAGCTGCGACTGCCCAAGATGGGTGGAATTGTCCCCCCTCATGCTTCCCCTTGGCCTCTTCCTGGTACTCCTCAGCATGAAGGACAATTACCTGTTCCTGAAAGAGGTGAAGAACCTGGTGGAGAAAACCAACTGCGAACTGAAAGTTTGTTTCCAGTACATGAACCGAGGAGACCGCTGGATTCAGGTGAGAGGGGCGGGGCCCGGGGGAAGGATGCAGCAAGGGCTCCGCCCCAAAGAGGCTTGCTGTGAGCTCCCCGGTACCCAGCTGCCTGTGTGTGTGCAGATTCCTGTCTGCTAGTGTGCATAGAGACTTGGGAGAACTAGTGTGGCTTCTAGTGACAGCCTAGACTGAAATAATCTGTATCCGTCCTCGGGGGCTGGTGATGGCTTTACGGGGAGTATTACATGGCGGTGAAAAAGGAAAAGGATCTGTCTGTGGCCAAAGACACAAAATATGCTTGAGTTGTTGAAAAGAGATATATACAAATCACGGCATTTGTGTTCTTTAAATGAGGCCAGTGTCACTAAGAGATCGTTGTGTGACTTTCCTGATGGGCAGAGGCAATCTGTGGAAAGATGTCCTGCCATATTTGCTTACCTCCTAGGAGGAGAGTCGGGGACCGGAGGCAGTCTGTGAATGAGACACACTTCCCAAGATAGGCTCACTTGTGTTCGTTTTGTGTTAAACCTTTTATTACATTGGTTTGTTGGGATGGTGCCCAGACTACAACCCACTCATGGGGGGGTCAGAGGACAGTATGGAACTGTTCCTTCTCTCCTTCCATCTTGTGAGTCCCAGGAATCAAACTCAAGACTTGGCAGTAAGTTCCTTTACCTGGTGAGTCATCTCACGGGCTCGACTTTTGTTTTGATTTTGAGCGAAATTCTCACTTTGTAGCCCAGGCTGGCCTTACAATCTCAAGCTCCTGGCCTCTGCCTTCTGAGTTCTGATTACAGATGTACTCTGCCGTGCCTAGTTTGCTTGTGCTTTTTTTGTTTGTTTGTTTGTTCTGTAACAAGGTCTCCCATACCCCAGGCTGACCTTGAGCTCACTATGTAATAGAGAATGACCTTGAAATTCTGATCCTCCTGCATCCACCTCCCAAGTGCTAGGATTACACGGGCATGTGCCAGCATGCTCAGTGTGGCTTGAGCTGGGGCTTGAACCTAGGACTTCATATATGTTAGCCAAGCACTCTACTGCCTAGGTTACATTCCTAGTCCCTTGCGCTTTGAGTTTTTTACACCAGGGTCTCAATATATAGCCCGGGATGGCCTCATACTCTCCAGCCTCCTCTTCTGCCCCTCATCCATCTGGGATTACACCCCCATCCATCCTGCTCCAGACACCCCTGGGTACCACTACATCTGAAAGCCCTCCTTCTTCTCCACAGGATGAAATCGAGTTTGGCTACATTGAGGCACCCCACAAAGGCTTCCCAGTGGTGCTGGACTCCCCTCGAGATGGAAGCCTGAAGGATTTCCCCATTAAGCAGCTCCTGGTGAGATGCTGAGGGCCACTTGGGGGTGATAGTGGGAACTCTTAGGCCAGCATAGTCAGGAGATGTGGGGCACCTGAGAATAACTAGTCTTCCATGCAGGGTCTCTGTTTTCTCGTCTGCAGGATGGGTCAGTGGGCACTAGGGTCCAATGCAGTTCTAAACTGGGAGAGTTGCCTTGTAGGAAATGAGAACCATGGGAGGCAGAGCAAGGCCCAGGTCCAGAGACCTTGACCCCTGCTGCTGCCCCAACCTTCCAACTTGTAGCTAAGTAAGTCTCAAAAAGGCAAGGCAGAAGTCTACAGATGTCAGCGTTCTTCGGGACTTTGTGGCTGTGAATCTCAGTGCCATGGGGTTTATTCAAGCAGCTTGACTCCTCCCCATCCCAGGAAGCCATTGTCACCCCCACTTAGTGGCCTCAAGCATGTGGAGGGCTGAAATTTGCCGTTCTGCCTCCCCACTCTTTATACTAAGCCAGAGGCTGGATTGGAGTGTGTTACAGAGACACCAGCAGATCTGGCTTCCCCAGTCACAGGAAGGACAGATTCTGCTGTAGGTGTCTGGCCATTCAGAGGTGACTCCTTCCCAAGTCCCCTCTTGAGAGGTGGCAGAAGCAGCATGTGAACCCCACTCTGGGATGACAGAAGAACCTGACCTTGAACAGCACCCCGATATCAGAAAGGGGGCCTCAGTGCGCACTTCTGCAAAACAGGGAGGTGTCGCCCAAGATTGCCACTTAATCAAGGCATGTAGAAGGCATGTCGATGTGCCTCATCAGCGGCCAATCATGGTCTGGTTTCATTGCCCTAGCCTGGAGGCTGCCCTCAGAGGCCCTCCATTCGGGTTACTGTCCATTTTCCCTGACACTGGGGGAGAGGGCCATCAAACTGACCGCCTCGGAGTTACCACAGGCAGCAGGAACAAGAACCAAGCTCCCAACCCTGTCCTTTCTCGCCCCCGGGCTCCAACTGTCTTCAGTGCTCCAGGCTGGCCTGGTGCCAAGGCCTATCTGCATTGTTCCCAGAGGCCAGGCCAGGCTGTGTGCCTGCGTGCCTGCTGGCCTGTGTGATGCTGTAAAGCCCCAGCTGCCACTTGTGACCAGCTGCCGCATGGCTAACAAGGGCCCAGGCGAGAAAGCGCTCAGCTGCTGCCACCCACCCCACCCGGTGTGCCTGTCCCTTGAGCTCTCAGCCGTATCTGCCTACTACACAGGGTCTTTTTGTTGTTGTTTTTTTCTCATTCAAGTTACTCATTGCTCTAGTACAAACTTCCAAAGAAGGTCGCTACACTTTTTGTATCAAAAAAGTGTGTGTGTGTGTGTGTGTGTGTGTGTGTGTGTGTGTGTGTGTATTTACATATATGGAACGTTAAAATGCAGGGACAGGTAGGATCTTCCCTTCCTGTATACAAAACCCAGTTTTCTGAGTGCTAAGGACCATGAGGCCAGCTGTAGGCTTGATGGACAGGTACTGTTGCTGGGATGGGTAGGAGTGGCTGTCAGTCAGCTGTCACTAGGTAAGGCTGCAGAGACAAACAAGCCCCAAACCCTAGTGACTGACAGTAGCCATTCTCTCCTGCTGCTCACCGCCTGAACTGATGGCTGGCTGTGTCTCTACGCCCTCATTCTAGAGCTACAGCCTCTGAACTGATGGCTGGCTGTGTCTCCTCTATGCCCTCATTCTAGAGCTACCACCTGGCCGAGAACTGCCGTTCCCCTCTTGTGGGAAAAAGAGAAAATGGGCCCTGCCAGCATCCCACCTTGCTCATATTTCATTGGCCAGAGAAAGTCGTGTGACCCTGAGTCACATGGGAGATGTCAGAAGTCATTTGTAGTGGGTCAGGATGCACAATTTGCTCTCTGGGCAGGTCTAGCAAATCCCTGGGGATAATCTGCTCCCCGCCATGCCTCTCTCAGAAATGGAAACCAAGGGCCAGAGAGCTCTGAGGTGCCAGGAAGGTCGACAGAACCTGTGAGGCTAGATCTTGATATCACCACACTGTGTGCCTGTGCCTAGGGGGCAGGGCCCACGCAGAGATGGGAAGCACGCGCTTGTCACCCACACTGACTCCCTCGAGGTGTCGGTGCTCTCTCAGACTCCCTGAGGGCAGTAAGCTAGCCTCGGGTAACGGCCATCCTTGAGGACCTGGAGCGCTGGGCTGCGGGTGGCACAGGTTGTCAGCGTAGAATGGCTGCTCGGGAAGAGGGCTCCTGGCTGTAGGAGGCTAAAGGCAGGCGTGTGACCTCTCTCTGCCCAGGGCCCAGATTTCGGCTATGTGACCCGGGAGCCCCTCTTTGAGAAAGTCACCAGCCTCGACTCCTTTGGGAATCTGGAAGTCAGTCCCCCGGTGACGGTGAATGGCAAGACATACCCTCTTGGCCGGATCCTCATCGGGAGCAGTTTCCCTCTGTAAGATAACCGGGTGGGGTGGGGTGGGGGGGTGGCAGGTACAGGAGAATGACTGTCTCGTGGCCTGGGGTGTGTGTGTCTGGAGTGAAACATCCCCTGCCTCGGTGCACTGTAAATCAGTAGACACTCGTGGAAAGGAAGCCAAGTTAGCCTTTACACCTTAGTATAAATTAAGACCTAAGATGCAACCCAATAACCCTCTCCCACAAATGGGAAGGTGTGTGGTGGGATGTCAGCCAGGTAGAGAAGGGCCGTGGGAGCCCAGTGAAGGGACACAGGCAGAGGAGAGTGGGAGAGAGGCGGCTGCCTGTCAAAGGGGAGAGAGACAAGGCATGGCCCTGCCTCACAGGCGTGAGTCTCTGGCTCCCTTGGCTGCCCACAATAATCATACTCTCTGCCCAGCCAATGAAAAGGCAGATTCTACCTTGATCCAAACAGTTGCTGGGAGAAGGCAAGCAGTCTAGGGTCACCCAGGATTTGAGTATCAAGTCCCTCCGGTCCACATGGAATGTTCTACTATCTAGGGGACATGGGTAATGACCGTTAGCCTACCCTCAGTGGTCACTCATCCACTCAGCAGCTACTTCCGGTGCCTCAGTGGAGTACCTGGGAGGGGACAGTCACAGACATGTCAATTCCATGCTGAGCATGGAAGCTGACTTCAGCTGCTCACTGGCAGACTCTGGGCAAAGGCTGAGCTTTAAGCCCTCTACATAGGTTTGACTGTGGCCAGCATGCCCTCTTCCCACCTGGGGCTCCAATACCTTCTACCTGTACCAGGCTTCTGCCTGTGCCCTATCTGGTACCAAACAGATCTGGCCTGGGCTCCAGATGCTGAACACCTCGTCCTGGGGGTGCTGTGATGCAGGGCACAAGGATAACCTACTGAAAGACTCCTCTTCTCCAACCCTGCCCCTAGGTCTGGAGGCCGGAGGATGACCAAGGTGGTCCATGACTTCCTGCAGGCCCAGCAGGTGCAGGCCCCCGTGGAGCTCTACTCCGACTGGCTGACTGTAGGCCATGTGGATGAGTTTATGACCTTCATCCCCATCCCAGGCACAAAGGTGAACTGATCCCCAAGACTAGAGTGCATTGCATAGCCAAGAATCAATGCACTGCTCGGCCTCGCCCGCAGAGAGTGCGATCCAGAAGGAGAAGGCAATAGACTGAAATTGGGTTTGTCATATGGTGGTTATGACAGGCCATTTTTAACCCACAAATCTAAAACATCAGTATTTCCACATGTAAGCGGTATGAAAATGTAGGCAGACTTTTCTTTCCCTCCCGCCAGCTACCAAATAACCTACACAGAGTCTTAATATTAAGTATAAATGCTCGGCCAATACATCAGGCTTGCTGCTAGCTAACTCTTGTATTTTCAGTTAACCCATATTTTTATCTATGCTTTGCCACGTGGCTTAGAACCTTCTCTCAGTACGGCATGCCCATCTGTTTCTCTCTGAGTCTGCTCACCACTCCTCCCTCTCTGCCCTTCTTCCCCCCAGCATTCTCAGTTTGGCTCTCCACCTAATCTTATCCTGTCTAGCTACTGGCCAGTCAGCTTCTTTATTAAACCAATCGCAGCAAGGTATGATAGAGCAGTGTAAAGGAGGGCCCCACATGAAGTTATATTATTGTGTGTTGTGTGTACGTGCTCCTGTGGGTGTGTGCCCGTGTGTGAGTGTGTGTAGAGGCCAGGGGTTGATACCCAGCATCTTCCTTGAGGTTTTGAGTCTCCCACTAATCCTGGAGCTCCCCCGTTGGCTGGACTGGCTGGTCAGTATCTCCAGGGATCTACCTCTCTCTGCTTCCCCCTCCGGCTCAGTCATTGTTCTATTGCTGTAAAGAGACGCCATGACCAAGGCAAGCCTGTGTATGAAAGCACTCCCCTGGGGGTTTGCTTACAGTTTCAGAGGCGTAGCCCACGATCATCATGGCCGGAAGCATGGTGGCATGCGCAGTGCTGGAACAGTAGCTGCATTCTGGTGTGCAGGCTGGGGGGGGGTGGCATGGACTTTTGAAACCTCAAAGCTCAACCGCAGTGACATACCTCCTTCACAAGGCCACACCCCCTAACCCTTCAAACCCTGCCATACCTCCACTCCCTGCATTCAAATATATCAGTTTATGGGGGCCATTCTTAGTCAAACCACCATACACCCCCCACCTCATGCTGAGATTACACTATATTGCCTGGCTTTTCTTTCCCCCAGAGTGAATACTGAGGACCCAAACTCAGGTCTTCATACTTGTGGGGCAAGCATGTTGCCAATCATGCCAGCCCTATGTAAAAACTGCTATTTTCTTTTTTTTTTTCTTTTTTTTTTTCCTTTTTTTTTTTCTTTTTTGGTTTTTCGAGACAGGGTTTCTCTGTGGCTTTGGAGGCTGTCCTGGAACTAGCTCTTATAGACCAGGCTGGTCTCGAACTCACAAAGATCCGCCTGTCTCTGCCTCCCAAGTGCTGGGATTAAAGGCATGCGCCACCAACGCCCAGCCCTATTCTACTCTTACAGCCTAGTTTGGAGCATTAACACTCAGCATGGGAGGCATGAAGTGCATTGCAGCCAGGGCCCTAGTCCTGCTGGCATCCTGGCTCCCTGCCCTCCCTGACAGTGCCACCCCTGGGGCATGCATCTCTTGCAGGAATTTCGGCTGCTCATGGCCAGCACCTCAGCCTGCTACCAGCTCTTCCGAGAGAAGCAGAAGGAAGGCCACGGGGAGGCCATTATGTTCAAGGGTGAGTGTCTTAGTTAGGGGTTTTGTTGCTGTGAAGAGACACCATGACTACAACAATTCATATAAAGAAAATATTTAATTGGGCTGGCTCGCTTACAGTTTCAGAGGTTCATGAAGGGGAGCATGGTGTCACGTGGTCAGACATAATACTGCCGAAGTAGCTAAGAGTCCTACATCTTACAGGCAACAGGAAGTTGACTAACACACTGGGCAGTCTCTTGAGCATAGGAAACCTCAAAGCCTGCCCCCACAGTGACACACTTCCTCCACTAAGGCCACACCCACTCCAACAAAGCCACACCTCCTAGTAGTGCCACTTCTATGAGATTATGGGGACCAATTACATTCAAACTGCCACCGTGAGTGATCATAGGCCCTTAGCTGAAAGCCCCTGGAGGCCCTCAAGAGGACCCAGCACCCAGCTCTACCACAAAAACTCACATGTGGTTGCTCAGCATGCACAAAGTCCTGGGTTCACTTCCCAGCAGTGCAGAATTCCAGTGTGGTTGTGCTCACCTATAGTCATAGTTCACCAGAGGTGGAGGCAGAAGGGTCCTAACAGCGAGGTCATCCCAAAATGGAGAAGGGTAAAGTATGTCTTCAGAGATAGGACTTGAAAGGTACTGAACCTAGAGAGAAACTAAAGGACCCCAAGCCGCCTTGTGATCTGCACCCAGGAGCTTGCGTTTTCACAACAGTGGGATGGAAGCCAGCGCCCCCGTCGATGGTCATGCCCGGGGAGAGAAACGGTGCTGATACTGGGGGCACAGGAAGGCAGGGCCTGCGGGGCCTGGAGTGAGACTCCATCTCTCTCCTAAGTGGGGCAGGCCTGGGGATGAGTTTTGCCCTTGAATTAGTCATAAGAAAGAGACTCGGTTAGGGAAACTGGCCAGGCAACAGGGTGAGAGAGGCCACGGCACCTCTGCGCTTTGCTACTCTGGTAAAATAGACATAGCCTCGCCACTTAGAATCCAACGTATTATACAGTGTTGAACAATAGCCTCTACTCTCTGTCCCGTTCAGCATTTATTTTCCTAAATTACTTTTTTTGCCACATCTTAGGCTTAGTAGCCTGACACTCAAAGTGTTCGGTCTCAGGGGCATGCCAAATAATGGGGGGCAGAAGCCTAGATACCAGAAGCAAACTTTATTCCAATCACACGGAGCACAAAAAGCTCCCAGTGCACTGGGACCACAGGTCAGAGTTCAGGCTTCTGACACTGTGGAAATGGGGGCTGGTTTGGGGCCTCTTCTTATAATAAAACCAAGCACCAGGTGTTGGGGGAAAGAGCTTTTACAGCCTTGAGGTCAGGCTTAAAGTCACATTAAATTTTAGTTTTACAACTTCTGGTTATAGGATGTTAGGATGCTAATTTAGGATGTTTGCGGAAAGCCTGTGGCTAATGCAGCAACTTTTCGCTGTCCCTGAAAGAATGCAAGGCAGAGAGTAGAGTCACATATGAGAACAGTTAAAATTAAGGGAATACAATGCAGAGGGTCTTGGAGCAATAGTTAGAAGCCAACCTTTGTCTGCCTAGCTGGGAGGCGGGAGACAATTACTAAAGTTTACCTCTGTACACAGTGGCTGCCAGGATGTCTGCTCTTAAGGCAGAGAGCAGTTGCTAAAGGTTAACAGTGGCTGCCAGCTTTATTATTTTTCCAAAATGTGTTTGGGAAACACAGTTTTCTATTTCTATATTCCTGGACCCTTCAAACGTCCTCCTTGTCTAAGTAGTGCGACTGAGTGTTGCTTGTATCAAGGACAGACCCACTGTCCCTTTTGTGTCTGCAACCTGATGGTAAGTCTGCCCTGGGTTGCCAGGCATGGGGCTTGGCTCTCTAGGATCCTCCTTTCTATCTTAAACTTGCCTCAGATGCTGCCCACACACCGCATGATCAGAGATACTAGTATAGTGTGGTGTGGCGGGAGCCTGGAGGCAGGGTCCCACAGCTCTGATCTCTTTGGTGCTGTGATACCACAAGTCTGGGACGTGCAAAGAGCTGGCGGGCTCTTCCTAGATCAAACAAAATTCAAATACAAGCGGTCTTAGCCCTTGGGAGGCTGAGGTGAAGATTGTGGGTTCCGAGCCAAACTACACTTAATCAAATATGAGGTTCACACCAGGCAGTGGTGGTGCACGCCTTTAATCCCAGCACTCGGCAGGCAGAGGCAGGCGGATCTCTCTGAGTTCAAGGCCAGCCTGGTCTACAAGAGTTCCAGGACAGCCAGGGCTACACATATAACCTTTCTTTTTTTTTTTTTTTTTTTTTTTTTTTGGTTTTTCCGAAACAGGGTTTCTCTGTATTGCTTTGGAGGTTGTCCTGGAACTCACTCTGTAGACCAGGCTGGCCTCAAACTCACAGAGATCTGCTTGCCTCTGCCTGCAGAGTGCTGGGATTAAAGGCATGCGATACCAACACCCGGCTGAGAAACCCTATCTTGAAAAACATTCATATATGTGTATGGCTTACATTCCTGCAATCAGGCTATGTGTGTGGCTACTAAAATAGTTTCCTCACCTTTAACAGTAGCAGCTACCTCACAGGGACACAGTGGCAGGGGAGGGCCTGCTAAATGAATCCACATTAAACTTTCAAAAGAATGCTGTCTTGGCTGGGAGATGTGGTTCTATGGCAGAATGCTTATCTAGCATATATGAGGTCCTGGGTTCCATTCCTAGCAGTGGGACCAACGAATAGATCTCGGGCACTTGGGTGTCACTAAAGTCTCTGGGCTGTGGAGCTGGAGTCGAAAGCAGGCTCTCTCCAGGTATTTAATCAGCTACTAACATTCTAAGAGGGCACCCAGGTTATCTGTTCCTCCTGCCAGAGAGAACAACATGTCCACACCCCTCTCAAGGCTCAGAGGACATGGTGGATATGGAGAGAGGGGGGAATGTGTACTGCTCCCTGGGTGGAAGGAGACAACCTCACCCTTCACCCCACTCCACCCCATCCCTGCCAACAGGTAAGCTAAGATACCCTGTCATCCTCTGACCCCCACAGGCCTGGGGGGCATGAGCAGCAAACGCATCACCATCAACAAGATCCTGTCCAATGAGAGCCTCACGCAGGAAAACCAGTACTTCCAGGTGTGTGTGAGTGTGGGGCTGGTGGGGCTGGTTCCGTGGAGACAGGTCAGGGGCCTGGGGCTTCTGACCCAGAGGGGCCTCAACAAGCACCTGTTAGATCTGCTTGTCGTGCTGGTCCTCTGCCATGCTGGCAGGGGCGGAGGGCTCAAGGCGCTGAGAGCCCAGCGGGAGACTTGGGATAACTCGGGAAAGCGGCATGGATTGTGTGGCCCTCACGCCCTGTTCATTCTGCAGTTTGTCAGGTACATGACTGTCATGTCTGCCAGTCACCAGGCAAGCTTGGCTGCTAGCGAGTTTCTGATGTAAAGTTTAAGTTGGGGCGCTAGGCTGATAGAGTTTATGGAGGTAGCTAGACTAGCAGGCATTACCAGGAGCCTAGTGTTTTCTGTCCATTTGGAGCTGGGTCTCAGGTCGTTTTTTGAGAATGGACCATTAAGGCCGACACAGGGCCAGAGCACCGTCGTTCTATTGGACAAGCGCTCACCGAAGACACTGCCTTTAAACTCACTAAAGCTTCAGGCTTGCCAGATAGTACCAGCCTGAGTGCACGCCTCACTTCGGAGCTTCGGCAGCTCATATCCCTGAAGGCTTGGATCCAGGTGTGACAGACACTCTGAGTGCCTGAGCCTTAAAAGTTGCCCCAGAAATAGAGCCCAGGGCCAGAGACCCAGCTCCGTCTGTAGAGCGCTTGCCTTGTGTGACGGAAAGCCTTGCATTCAATCCCCAGCATCGCATAAGCTGGGTTATGATGCCCTGTAAACCAGAGGCAGATGAATCTCTGTGAGTTCAAGGCCAGCCTGGTCTACAGAGCAAGCTCCAGGACAGCCAGGGCCACACAGAGAAACCGTGTCTCAAAAACGAAGAGGACAAAGTGTTAGATTTCTGAGGCAGTTTAAACAGAGAAAATAGACTGGAGACTGGCAGGCAGTGAGGGCAGACACAGCGGGGAAGGGGTGTTTGCCGAAGGGGATGCTTGGGGTTTATGTAGGTTTGGGGAGCGGAGTGTTGAATGCAACTTCAGAGTTCACGTGCAAACCCAGACCAGGCGGTTTTATCTTTAGAATCTGTCTTGCCCTTGCCGTCAGGATGTGGGTCATAGTGGGCAACTGGGTTGGGCAATGGCGGTGCGATGAAGGGGCTGGGTTTCCACACAGCGCCTTGGCCAGGGTCAGGCAGAGTGTGTCTAAAGTTTGTTCCGACACAAAACTCTGCAGTTGTGTGGATCTCAGGCGCAGGCTGACCAGGGCTGTGTCCGTTGGTCATGTGCAGGTGCTCTCATAGCTGCAGAAGTTCAAAGCCTCACGTAAACACTGCACACCATCCATGAAGACTTGCATGTCCTACATACAGCATTTGAACAAGAGTTTGGTCTCACTCTGACTTGGGTCAGCCTGAACTGGCCACTGCGGACAGGGTGTTTCCAAGCACCCGTGTGCTCAATGCTAAGCCCCTGATCACCCCAACCGCTGGGGTGAGAGGAAGTGACAAGAGCCCACCAATTAGCTCTCACCTGAAGACGGGAGAATCAATCCAGAGGGGGTTATACCTCTGCAGGGGGGGTGGGCAGAGGGTGGGGGTTATACCTCTGCAGGGGGGGTGGGCGGAGGGTGGGGGTTATACCTCTGCAGGGGGGGGGTGGGCGGAGGGGCATGTCAGGACAACAGGGTCCCAGGGGAGCCCCACAGGACCCACTGAAGCTGAGCCAACACCACATTGGCTGTTTGGGTGCTGAGCTCTATCCCTCCATGATCCCTGTGAGAAACAAAGACACGCACACCCACACTCTGAAACAAGAGCTCTGGAGGCACAGAGTATCAGAAGCCAGGCAGTTTATCTTACAGCTTTGCAAAGCCCAGATGGCAGGTGCCGGGATAGATAGCAAAGAGAGCATTTAAACCCTAAGCCAGCCCCTCCTCGCTCTTCTCATTAGCCCAGTAATCAGGGGGCACAACCCTACAGGGTCACCTGAGCCTCTGCCACTTAAGTTTGTCTGGCTTTCGGCAAGGACTGTGCAGACTTCGGTCTCTGTTTTACAGTTTGTCAGTTACATGACTGTCACGTCCGCTGGTTGTTAGGTAAGCCCAGCTGCTACCATATTTCTAGTGTACAGTTTAAGGCGGGGTAGGCTAATAGAGCTTTGGGGGTTGCTAGACTAGCAGGCGTTAGCAGGAGTCTAGTGTTTTCTGTTCATTGGTAGCTGGGCCTCAAGCCGTTTTTGAAAATGAACCATTAAGGTGGGCATAATGGTACACGTCTTTAATCCAGGCGCCTGAAGAGGCAGTCAGATCTCTATGAGTTCAAAGGCTGCCTGGTCTACAAAAAGAGTTTCAGGATAGCCTGGGCTACATAGAGAGACCCCCCCACTTCTCTCCTCTCTCTCTCTCTCTTTCTCTCTCCCTCTCTCTCTCTCTCTCTCTCTCTCTCTCTCTCTCTCTCTCTCTCTCTCTCTCTCACACACACACACACACACACACACATTACTACTGTCCCTCAGCCCCGGTGGACACTAGAGAGGTGACAGGGACACCAGCTAAGCAGAAGTCTCTCTGGCATGTAGGCTAAGTGACAGGTATGTGCCCCCTAACCTCTATGCTACCTCTTTCCCTCTCCCCCAGCGCTGCCTGGATTGGAACCGTGACATCCTCAAGAAGGAGCTGGCACTGACGGAGAGGGACATCATCGACCTGCCCGCTCTGTTCAAGATGGACGAGGGACGCCAGGCCAGGGCTTTCTTCCCTAACATGGTGAGGCCCTCCAGCCCAGCCCCTCCTGCTACAGCCCGCAGGGTGCAGCCAGCTTCAGAATGGCAGCGGAGTTGCCATGTGACCTCATCTCCGGCCCTTGCCCTCTCTGATGTCCGTCATTCCCAGCTGGGGGGGAAATGCTTAACCTTGCTTTCTCGCAAGTGTCCCCAGACCCTTTACTTTAGCCAATAGGCAAGAGCATTGCAAAAGGTCACAGCACAAACCAGGCTTAGCTCAATCCATGCCTCAGTTTCCCCACTTCTGAAGGAGGATCCTAATAACACTTCCTTCATAGTACAGACAGTAACGGGGATCTGAGGGGGTTGGCACCACAGGCAAACAGTGACTGTTCCCAAAATACTCTCTCCTCTCCCAGGTGAACATGATTGTGCTGGACAAGGACCTGGGCATCCCCAAGCCTTTTGGGCCCCAGGTGGAGGAGGAGTGCTGCCTGGAGACACATGTTCGAAGCCTGCTGGAGCCTCTGGGCCTCGCCTGCACTTTCATCGATGACATCTCTGCCTACCACAAGTTCCTGGGAGAGGTGCACTGTGGCACCAACGTCCGCAGGAAGCCCTTCACCTTCAAGTGGTGGCACATGGCGCCTTGACTGGGAAGGGCCCTGGCCCTTCCTCCCCCCTGTAATCTCCAGGTCCTTCCTGTGCCCCCCAAGTCCTTCCCTTCCAAGAAGTGGGTGGGATTGTGGGTACTTGTGCCTTGCTGTCCCCGGGTAAGGGCCCCAGCGTCCATTGAAGTCACCCCTGGTAAGCCCAACCATCCCCCCTGAAAATAGCTGAACACATAGCTAGTGTGCAGAGCTCTGGCAGGGAAAACCAGACTTCCAGAATCATATAGTCAGACTGGTCCTCAAGAATCTCTCAGCCTCTATTCTAGATCAGAATGAAGGCAGAAGGAAAGGAGGCTCTGAGGCGGCTGGCCCTTCCAGCACCACGCTGGAACCGAGGTTCGCAGTAGACCACAGGGACAGCGCCCAGGGCCCTGGGATGCCTTGACCGGCCCTGTCATTTCACATCGGCCTCCCTCGGGGCCTCCTGGGGGTTCCCTCCAACCATTCATTCCTTACATCCGTCACCCTCTCCCATCTTCCAGTACACACAGGATTCCCACTCCCTGAGGGTCCAATCGTTCTGCTAGAATCATCTGGAAATAGTTCTTCACTCGCTGTGGATGCAGGCTGCCCAAGCTTGGGGGCACAGACTCTCCACAGACTAGCCTCTGTGGTCCAAAGCACAGTGTGTAAAGATGCCCTCACCAGTTAGCGCTACTCTGCTTCTCTTGCCTGGTCCTCAGTTCTCAAGCCGGTCCATGGGCCCCTCTTCCCATTCATCTTCCTATTCTAGACACGGTCACCTCCCGACAGCTACATAGTTTCTTTACCACCAGCCAGATTTGGGCCTCCCACAGAGCCTGAGAAATAACCTGTGCCTCCTCTTGGAGGTTGGCCGCATTGTCCAAGGATGCTACTGGTCAGGCTCCGGTCTCGGCAGTTGGTTCTTAGCCAGCTACTGCTCCAGAGGTGGGATTTCCCAGCACACTTTCCAAAGTCCTTCCATCCAGATGTAACCCCTCTGCTCCAGTTAGAAAAATCCCCAGGAGCTGGAGAGCTCCACAATTAAGAGAGCTTGCGGCTCTTGAAAAGAACCCAAGTTCAATTCCCACCACCCACAACAGTAACTCCAATGGGGCCAATACCTTTTCTGGACTCTGAGGGCACATGTGCACATATCCATATGCATAATTAAAAATAAATTTTTAGGGTCTGGAGAGATGGCCCAGTGGTTAAGAGCAGAGGACGTGAGTTCAGTTCTTAGCACCTGTATGGTGGCTCACAACCATCTATAACTCTAGTTCCAGGGGATCTATTGCTCTATTCTGACCTCCATGAGCTTCTGCACACAGATGGTACGTATACATACATACACTTGGGCACACACACGCACACACGCGCGCGCGCGCGCACACACACACACACACACACACACGAGTAAATAGGATTTAAGAAATAAAAATAAAATTATTTAAATAAAGAAGGTCCTTTAGGGCCAGGAATATAGGAAATATTATTGTACTTTGAAGGGCTAAACCATTTTATAATGGAAGAAAGGGTTACAGTCTTGCATTCTTAGGGGAACAGATTATTATCTTGGATTATTTCCTCAGCTATGCAATCAATATGGGTCGCATGCTACTCAGCAACAGGCAGAGACCTGGGCTCTGATAACACAAGCTAGCCATAGACTTGGCTTGTCCCCAACAGGCAAAATTCCACATTTAAACCCTTTGCCCTTGCTGTGGTGGGCTCCTTAGAAATATTACCTAGCGTATTAAAAAGGCACCCAGGACCTCAGTTACTGCCTTAAAGAAGTAAGGGTGCCTTCTGTAAACAGATCCCCCCCTTTCCATCCAGCTGGGCCTATAGCACCATGTCAGGTCAGGCCACAGAGCCTCTAAAGCTGTCGTCCTCTGCTCTTGGGACAGTGGTCCCTTCTCTTGAGGGTAAAGCCCCAAATCCTGTCTCAGGCTCCAGAGCAGAAAAGGCATGCATTTTCTGAAGGAGAGGATCTGGGGATGTAGAGTTTCTTGCGTGTGGTGTTCGGTTAGGGCGGCTTTGTGGCTTTTATTTTTATCTGTGTTAAGGGGAAGTGAGTGCCCCATCACAGAGGCCGCTTGTCTTCGTAGATTGTGCTATGATTCTCCTTGGCAGCGTTGGTTATTTCAGAAATTTCTGGAACTCCAGGACACTGCTTGTCCCATCACACTTACCCACCCAGTGTGGCTCCCCCCAGTGTGGCTCCTAGGTGTGACTCCTCTCAGTGTGACCCCCCAGAGTGATGCCCGCTGTGGACCCCTTGCTCTTCCCTGCCCCCACTTACTTTAACATAGGCCTAGATGCTTCTGGGCTGCACCAGTTCCTGTTTCAGTGTCGATTTTGAAATACTCTGTAAAGGGCAGAGGGATGGCATGAAAATGGAGAGAGCCAGGCAGTTTCAGCTTCCTGGAAAAGAAGCCAAGATGGAGACTGAAAAGTGTTTGGGGAAGACAAAATAAAGAGCAATAAAGTGAGCCATCATGGCGCGGGGTGTGCTATTCTTTTCGACTTTCTCGACATGATCACAAGTGATCTGGATCACATGTGGCCCCTCGTGGTCATGAAACTCCTACTGTTCAGGTCCATGTGTCACAGGACCACTACCCAAGGCCGTAACCTGTACCGTGTATTCTTTCCCACCAGCTGCCTGGGTTGGCTGCTGTCTCAGCCCCCAAATAACACACAAGGCTCTATATTAGTTATGAAGCTGTTGGCCGTTTGCTATGGTTTCTTATTGGCTAGCTCTGACTTAATTATTAACCCATAACTAGTAATATATATTTTTATAAGTTCTTATCTTACCAAGGACGAAGCCTCATGTGTCCTCTCTTCCTGGGATCACCTGGCGACTCTCTACTCTTGACTACATTTCCCAGAATCCTCCTGGACTCCTGGTCCCACCTATCTTACTTCCCTATTGGCCAACAGTGCTTTATTTACCAACCAGTCAGACAAACATATACACAGGACTTCCCCCATCATCTGCAGGGATGTAATCATATTTTGAAGGTGAGTTTTCTTAGATACAGATGGTGAGATGAGCATTTGGGAGCCAGTGACGTGATAGGAAAGTGCCTCCAGGAGGGATGGGCCCAGGAACTGGGGGAACAGGGCATTGGAAGGGAAGAGACAAGCAGGGGTGTGATTTCAGGGGCTAGTTCATCCCAGTACCACCCTGTGAGCTCTGGAAGCTGATCCCCCTGGAGCGTAGGTCCCTCTGTATCTGGCCCACAGGGCACTAACTCTAATACCTCTGGTACCTGATGGGCAGGGCCACCAATAGCCCACAGCAGCCTCTCTAGAAGGTTGTATTTGCTGCATTAAGGACAGTGTGGGAAGGGGGTGACTGGGAAGACATCTCAGTGGTTAAAGCACTTGCTGCTCTTCCAGAAGACCCAGGTTTGGTTCCCGGCATCCACATTCGGTAGCTTTACTACCATGTGTAGCCTCTTTATGTCCCTACATGCACATGCACACATGTACACACAAATAAATAAATAAGTGATACACCATGTTTGCAAAGAATGAGGTGAGACCAGTGAGACTGCTCACCATAAAGGGACTTAATGCAAGCCTGGCAACCTGAGTTTTGTCTCTAGATGGAAGGATGGAAGAAGGAAAGAACTGCACAAAGTTGTCCTCTGACCTCTGCATGCATGCCGTGGCACGTCAGTATGCGTGCACAGTAGCAATGATAATTAATAATAATAATGATAGTAAAGACTTGGCTGGGCTGTGGTGGCGCACATCTTTAATCCCAGCACTAGGGAGGCAGAGGCTGGTGAATCTCTGTGAGTTCAAGACCAGCTTAGTCTATGTAGCAAAGGCACCTGGCAAATTTATGCCAAATCAAAGAAGGAATGGAGCAGGAAGGCTGTGGGATTACACACACTACACACACCTCTGCATACGTTCTCACACACACACACACACACACACACACACACACACACACACACACAAACACACACACCACAAGTTAGGCTAGTTGGTAATCACTACATGATTGCCTCTGCAATTAATCACCTTATCCTCTGGAAATGGAGTTCTTAATTGGACTAAGTAATAAAAACCAGGAGTCAGATATAGAGCAGACAGGCTTTATTTGTACAAGCAAGACATCACCACAACCCTCCTTTTCATCCTTTGTTCCTGCAATTGAAACTGCAGCCATGGGGGGAATCCCAGGATCCAAGTGCAGGGAATCCCCTAAAACTTGAGGCAGCTGTAGTCACATGGTCGATGCGGAAACCCACAGTAATATCAATTTCATTATTGCTGGTGTATTTATAGGGAACCCATTTGGGGGTGGGGTTACATATGCTTATATGTATGCATGTGTGTATGTGCTCTTGTATGTGCAGGTGCCTGTGCCCATGTGCACGTAGAGGTGAGAGGCCAGCCCCAGTGACATTTTCTCAGCATCTACCCATCAGCTCTTTGAGTGAGGCTAGGTCTCTCACTGGGACCTAGGGCCAAGTAGGCTAGGCTAACTGACCAATGAGCCCCAAGGATCTGCCTGTTTCTGCCTTCTCTCAGTGCTAGGCTTCTAAGCATGTGCCACCACGTACTGGGGGGTCCAACTCAGGTCTTCATGCTTGCATAGCAAATACATTACTGACTGGATCATTGCCTAGCCCCAAGAAACCCATTTTTAAGAAACCATCTGGGGAATAATCAAGCTACGGTATGTACCATTTAATTATTTTGAAGTACATATGGTAAACTCAATCTATGTTTTGTTTGTTTGCTTGTTTTCAATCTACATATGGTAACATCACAAAACCCCAAGACCCAGCGAGAAACAGAAAGGTGACAGGCTGCCCAGTGTGCAAACCACCATTGTTTCTGTAGAAACTTGTATGTGTACTGCATACCGGTGACATCAGTCTGGAAAAAGAATGTGACCAAGAGGATTTAAACTCTGTATTGTTTGGATTTCCTTACACGTCAGAAGTTGAATGATGTGGGTTTCCAGTGTGTGTGTTGTTTGCTGGCATGCTTGACCGTGCGTGAGTGTGTGAAGGTCAGAGGTTGATATGGGAAGGTCTTCCTTGAAGGATTCTTGACTCTATTTCTAAATAGCATTCGTTTATCATTTTGTGTGTGCAGGTGTATGCCTGGGAGGGTCAGAGGACAACCCCTACTGAACTCAGGTCTTCAGACTCAGCAGCAAGCATCTTTATTCTCTGAACCCTCTTCCTGATCTTCCAGTCTACCTTTGAGAGAGACAGTCTCTCGCTGACCCGGAAGGGGCTGCTCTGCTAGGCTGACTGCCCAGCAAGCCAAGATCTGCCCCCAGTGCTGGGGTTACAGGTGAGTGAGCACAACCAGGCCTTGCTTCTATGTGAGTACTGGAGATCCGAACTCAAGAACTCATGCTAACACACATTACCCACTGACTGTCCCCCAACCTGCTATATGTACTTCTTAATGATTGCTGGCTGAATTCTGTGGCATATTATTTCCATTCAAATCTTCCCCCCATTAGCATAATCCATTCCTCCTAATGATATGTGGCTCACCCCACTACGACTTCAAATGGAGAGTTCCTATAGGAGTCTCCTCCCCCTCCTTGGCAGGGAACTGACTGCCGCCATTCATTTTACTATCGCACAGAGAGGTTTAGTGACTTACTCAAGGGCACAGAGTTGATGGTAGATAGAACAGCTTGAACTCCCAAATCTACACACTTAAATATCCCTGAAAGGAGGACTTGTGCTTGACATCCTGCATCTTACTGGCTTGTTTTGCTTCTGACACCCAGCCATCCCCAGACTATTTACCATCATTCATGTTTACATTTCACTTGCGTTTACCTGCAAGATCAAATGAACTGCTCATCTGCCAGTATGCGGGAGCAGCAGCAGGCAGGAGGGATGAGGGTGACGGGTTCTAAATGTGTGTGTGCGCTTGGTGCTTTGGGGGATGTGGTGACGGTCCCCCCAGAAGGCCCTGGGCCACGTGCTAAGTCCCAGCAGCTGAGCTGAGCTAAGCTGTGTGAAACGCAGGTCCAGCTGGCACAGGGGTGGTTCGTCACTCTTTGCTCCGGGAGTTAATTCCTCAGAGACTGCTCGTGAAATGGGAGAAGCCTGTAGCCCTATTGCCTCACTCCCACTCGAAGGGCATATTTTGAGAAGTCTAATTATACGGTGGGGTTTGTACGGGATAAAAGGAAGGGGTTTAGATAAGCC